TTTTTGAGGTTAGCAATACATTTAAAAAAATATGTATAAATTTTATTTTAATAATTACGCTTGTTTGTGCTTAATTTTTCCTCAAGGAAAAACCAAGAAGACCTCTTCTATTTATCCTTTTCTGACTCATCACTCCAACCATTTATGTCTTCCACCAAAATCACCTGGGACCGTACATCGCACCGGCAAGTCCATTGACTGATAGTTCACGCTGAATTACGCGTACGCAGACCTTGTAGAATACAATATATGACCAGCATAATAAGTTTAAATAATATTCTTCAAAATTTTAGGTCCATCTTTGGCAATTATGAGGAATTACTATGTTTTACAACTACCACTGTTAGCGATTATAAGGATGTCTCAAAAAAGTTTAAAACTTTCATATCGGTCGCTTACCCATTTGTTGGTTTTGAGAAATGAAGTTTTAGTGTATTGGAAGCAAAATGCATTCAAATACATATAAGGATTGCTAATATGATTGGATAGAGGATTAAATTTTCTGTTGTGGTTTCTTAAAAAACTCCTTTATTAATATTAAAATCATGAATGGTTGACTCTATTTTTAAGACACCCATTCTTATCAGCTTCTATGGTAGATCTGCAAATATATATATATATATATATATATATATATATATATATATATATATATATATATATATTTCGCAATACTGCGTGTCGAATATATATGGGCAAATGAAAACTAATAGTGAGATATTTTCTAATAAAGTACTTAATCATTTAGTACCACACTGTATGCAGGCTAGTATAATACGCTTACGTTGGGACCACTAATTTAAAAATCTATTCCGGGCATTTTGTCCTTTGATTTCAAACTGACACCTATTCTGCGCATCAGCCTTTGTTCAAAATCGATTATGTTCGGTTTTTAAAAGACCAATTTTTATTTTGAAAAAAACACAAAAGAAATTATATTACATTATATGGACTTCACAGGTTGCACATATAATCGAGACAACCGACTCTTCGGGACACCTTTGATACACTTCTCTTGAAAAGCTTTTTAATCGCTTTTTGTCGGTCAGATTACAATGAGACTCACATTAATTCCTCTTGTATTCAATTATCTATTGAAGTCGCAACACAAAAGAAATAATAGACAAATAAGACTATGTGCGTTCAATTCTTGCCTTCGAATCGCAGAAGAAGGTAACATACTGCAAAAACTGTCTGTCCGTTCTTTGCCGGGTTTAAGATTGACGCTCGTCGTAAATTACTCTGTGTAATAAATTTAAATTGAACCAGAAAAACGTTTATAATAAAAACAACTTTCGTCGTACTGTACAATTTATACCAGTGGGTTATTGCAATTTGGCACGTGCCTGGAAGTGATGTTAGTGGAGTGGTATCTAAAGTGTTTAGATTTGCCAATTTGTATGCATTTCTGAAAAAAGTGGCAAAGCAAAGTGCAATAGCTTCACTTATACAAAATATTATTTTTTGAAAACGTGTAAGATGTGGCCGAGCAATATTTGTTTTGTTTCTATACTTCAATAGAGTTTCTTCAGTGTAATTATTTGCATATATATACGTATACTTTGGTAAAAAAACGCATTCAGACCTAACAGAGCCACCTCTGACTCTCTGATTTGATTTTTATCCTTAGAGAACGCCAGTCAAAGAACAACAGAGCCAATTCTACATAACTTTCATAGATTCGTTTAAGGCCTTTGACTTAATCGCTTTGGCATACCTACTAAATTCTTGAAAGTATGTAAAAGTCTTTATGAAGGAAACTGCGCAAGAGTCCTGATCAACGGAGAGCTCATTGATCCCATTGATTCAAATAGGGGTACGACAAGGTTGCGTGTCCAATCTTGTTCAACATATTTGCCACCGTTTGAGCCAGAAGTTCACACTAGACTAGAGCAGCGAGTTATAGCGCGATTAAACATCGCTTTGACGGAGGGCTGTTCAACCTCTAAAGACTCAGAGTTAAGATCAGAAGAAGATACATCTGTAATCCACTGCTACTGCTATTACTCCTGAATCTCCAGCTCGTATGCTTCGGGCTACGAAACGCTTGGCCTCAAGATTAATATCGGCAAAACAAAAATAATGTCAAAAACTGCTTCACAAAATATAGTTCTATCTATTCAGGACTGAACTTTCGAGGACGTTGAACACCACCCTTCGACAACCTTTCAGCAACTACTAAAACCGTTCCTTACAGAGCAAAAGTTACGCCAGCATTCACATACAGCTATGATTCCTGAGTGCCATATAGACGTTACATTAAAATTCTAAAACGCTTCCCACAAATACAGCAACGTAAAATTTTGCAGATCAAATGGTTTCATAAAATATCAAGCTTAAAAGTGCTTCAGAGTATTTTAGATGTCATCACATTCAGATGGGCAACCCACGTGGCGAAAGAAAATCGCTTTCCAAAGTCCGTGCTCTATGGCTCTATGAACAGACCGGAAAGCACAGGGCGGAATGTAGAAAGAGGAGAGTACGAATGCCCGGAATGTGGCAGAGTTATCTCCTCTAGAACTGACTTGGTTAGTCACACAATAATACACAAAAGGTAACCAATTTATTGTCAAAGAATAAAAACTGTGATAATATAGAAAATTTACTACCTTTTTGTTTTTAATAAATCCGGTAATTGAATAACAGCTATATATAATTTGCAACTAAAGTAAAACCATGGCTGAACAATATTTGCTTACTTAAAAAAGGTATGTCACCAATACTCAAAATTACCAGTTCTATTCTACGGAGACTCTAATATTTGACAAATATAAAAATAAATTCAAAAAGTTAAGTTCTAGTTCAGTATTTTTTTTTTCATTTTTAACGAATTCGAAATTTGTTTCAACATCTATAACCCCTATATTGGGGAAACAAGGAAAATTGCTGTTTCAGCAGCACCTGTACTGGAGACATCAATTATGGATTAGACAATGAACCTATGTAGTTCAACTCCAAATTGGAGCAATCAATGGCGGATGAGGCAACGAACCTCTTTACTGCATTTAATTTCTCATACTTTACTGTGTTCCGACAGAATTTTACATTTTGTTTTGCTTTGCGACACTCTTACTTCTTAGTTATCGTTTCATAGTGCTCGTTTACTACAACAATTTGAAGTTTTAACTGCGCAGGTGTAAATTAAGCAACTAACTTAATCCCTTGCTTAATTTCAACAATAACAAATATATTTGGATGCAAATTTGTATTTGATATGACTCTTAACTTAAAGAGCGCACCTTACATTGTGTCTCTCTATTCCGTTGAAGTCATGACTTTTTGTAGGCACTAGTATAAGAATTGCATTTTGAACATATTTTTGTTGCAATTTTCCGCTTATTTTTGACTTACTCAAGATTTTGAATCCAATTACATATATAATTATTATTATGTATTATTTTCAAAAAATAAAATTTAAATAATCTCTATCTAAATTTCGAGAAGATATGGACGTGAGAGTCAAAAATAATGGGGTCTAATGTTGACGGTACACTCTTATTTATTTCTAGCATTTATTTAACATGCAATAAGTTTTATAAAGTTCTATAAACAATACTTTAGTTACGAGTTCGTTAGGGCACGGACTGGGTAGCACGAATACAACTGACAAAAATAGTGCCAGTGTTTAAAACACCTTTCAAAAACCTGTAACTAAAGTACTGGAAACGCTTGAATAGACCCTACCGTATTTAGGATCTTTAAAGTGGCAATATATGATTCATTTGTGTCACACTTAGTAAAAAGAAAATTGAATTTAATTGCTTTTAGGTGGCCATTGAATCCTCCACGGGAAGCACCATGCCAAACTCCAATTAAAAAATGCGAAAATAAACTATCGAAAAATTCCGGTTCGAGTTACACGAAATCGAAGTCCTCGTTAAAGAAATCAACACCGCCAGAGTAACATTACTCGCGGTAACTTTATGGTTAAACTTTTGAACCTGAAATGCAATTTTAAGGACAATGCCACTTGAAATTCAATCTTGCACGGAAAAAATCTTGTTATTTTGCCAGTACCGTTACCAAAATGATCCCGATTTATCTCGCACTAGTCAGATGCGTCCACAGGGGGCAACAATTCTATTTTCTCTGAATCTGATCCAATCACGCCAAAGTTGTTATGGTGCAAAGATATACGGAAATATTAGCGGCGGCGATTGAAATAATAAACGTGTTTGGCTTATTTTGATTACAAACACTTCGCGCAATAAAACGTTCGGATTTAATTTGACGAATCGTGATTGTTGGTAGTTGGCGTTAATAAATAATTGCCGATGAGCAAATGAGATTATTAGAATAAAGTTAAGCAGCGGATAAAGAGGGTAATTCAAATTCAACGTCTGTGATAAATTTTCATTTTCACATTGAAACATAATATTCCAAATTTTAAATAAATTAGTCGATATCATATTCAGAATATTACGTGTGTTAAAAACTACGAACCCAGTTGTAATGTTTTGCACTTACGGTAAAGATAACTATAAGAATTTAATAATTATTTGTGTTGTTTAATAATTTAAAGGAATTTCCAAAGCGTGCCTAGAGCATAAAAATGTGTGTTTGTATTAAGTAGTGTCGACTAAATATGTTGGATAGATGCACCGAAACTTAGCTGAGTTTGCCGAATTCTCTAAGGCACTTCAACTTCAATAATGTCTATTACATCCATTACATTGTCGAAAGAAATAATGATTCTGATTCCGCATGAACAGTTTATTTCTCACATTCAAACTTTCACCGGTACTATAATTATATTCTTCTGGTTTCGATTAGTTGATTTTGATCGTTCCGGCTATGAACTTGAATTATTTTTTCCCCATTTAGGCATTTACATAATTACACTTATAGGATTCCAGTAAATTATTTTAGAATATTTATAGCATATAATACAACAAGAGTATCGGTAGAAACGTTAATTTATAACCAGAGACAATTTTTAACCTTATAACAAAAAAAAACAAATAATAAAATAAATGCACTATAAAATTAAGCAGACTTACTTGTTAAGTATGGTCCTTTTCGTCTTGGATTTCAGGTACCGTTGGCAAATATGTTTCTGAAAAAAAAAAGGTATTGCAAAGTTAGCACATTTTTTGCACCTATCTAAACACTGCTTATTTCAAAAGACACATAAAATAATAGAAAGCGAAGAAAAACAATTCCAATTAAATTTTATAAACGACCATTAGTTACGAGTTTGAATAGGAACGAGCGGAGCTAGTATTTAATAATCGAGTGACGGAAGAAGTCTAACAAATTATAGAATACTAGACTTTTTGTACAACCATTGATTTTTGGATACATTTTTGAAAAATAACACGCATACATTCACTGAGTGACGTGTGACTTGACAATTACAATACCGTTCGTGTCTAAAATTTACCGAACATATCCGATGATTCCCAAACCCACTCATGTACGTGCTTGATCGGCGCAAAATTAAGTATTTTAGAGAAAGCGTTAGAAAAATATTAATAACAGTAATCGCTTAGTAACATAACTTTTAAAATGATAAACTTTAACTACTTCTTTTTTGGTTTCGTTAGTTGGAGCGTTGAGTTTGGTTCAAATTTGTTTTGGTCGTTTCTTCTTTTGTGCAGAGTGGTTTCCCGTATTTCGTACAACCCCGACGGCATTATATTTTACGAGTCCATAAAAACTTAAAATATTCATAGGTTTCGTCAACATTCCCACGATTCCGCGCACTCGCGACAATAAATGACGTTGTTTTTATAAAGCCGGCAACATAGCCGACCCCATTCGCGAGAGACCACGAGAAGTTTTGCAAGAAACTATTATGGTTAATACACTTTGTCTAGTAAAGACCCTCTTTGTTGTAAGTGTGTCTAATTATTGTCTGCGTGATTCTTTTCAGTACCACGGCGAATGATTAATATTTCGTAGGGTGTAACGAGGTCAAACGTATATCAAAATGGCAACCATTATACACATTAAAGGTCGTTGCCGGTTTGTTATTAAGTGTCGTTTTTAGTTCCCGCAAATTTCGCCTTAGATTTTGTTAACTATTTAAAAGCTTACGGTGTGGAATCTTAAAAGTTAAAAGTTCAACCTAAGAAGGTTGATTGATTAATTAAATAAATTGATTAAATCCCAAGTTTAAACCGATTTATCACACGACAACAGAACCCGAATTCGCGAGGTTTATAAACCTATTCAAAACAAATTCAGAATGCTTGAAAAAGGGTAGGTCCTACAACTTGGAATATTGGAAGATATTGGAAGACAAGAGAAGCCAACGTTAAGTTTTTTGTCAATGTCATATAAACTGAACTCAAGATATTTGAAGAACATCGCCATATATCCGTTTTCATATCTTTACCACGAATTAAGGAAAAATCAGTGTCCCAAGCTATTACTCGTTATGGAAATAGTAGAAGGTAGCTCGTAGATTTTTGGACTTCACGGAGAAATTTAAGGACAGAGATTTAGAACAAACCAAAATGCAACCCAACTTCCAAACCTTAAGGCATAGCTCGTGGCAAAATGTAAAACCACATTCATAAATGCACGTTATGCCTTTTAAGAATATTATAGGCTTTCTCTTTCCGGAATTATTTTTACAACGAAGATAGGGTCTGTAAATTTTTTAAATAGAGCATTGAAGTTGGGTAATAATTTTTGGTAAGCAATGATAATACATAATACAATTTTTATTAAAAACATGTTTTTTGTAAATCACATTTATATGATTTTTATTATCTTTTTCAGTTTTTTTAATTTTCCGATAATAAGAAGCAGTGTTTAAAAAAATATATATTTTTTTAAGATTTTTATTACCTGACATCAATGCATGTTCAATTTTTTTCAACTCGAAAGGACGGTGAAAGTAATTCTGCTTTTGCGAACGGTTTTGTAGCTGAAAACTGTGTCAAAACAATATTTAAAAACCGTTTTTACATCGCGTCCACTTATTAGAAACTCGGGAATCCCTCTATTGTTGGTGCGAAAATAATGATGACTCCTAATATTTTAAATATAAATAAGTTATTAGTATGTTGAATACACTGCGCCATAGAGTGCGAATACAACAAAAAAAGTTCTATTTCTCTCTTTATTTTATAGTCATTATTTTAAAATTAAAATTTATCCCGGATAACATTTTGACGAATCTTATAGCGCTACTGACCAAGTTAAAAATATACGTAGTCGCTAACGGAAAACAAACAAAAAACTGGGAAATCAACGTCGTTAGGTGTGCGTTATTTTGCACGAATTTATACTGCGGCTCATTAGAATTATCTGTGTTAACTTTCTTCGCATTTCTCGTTAATGAATTGCTTCAATTGTTACATAACTAGTTTAACGGCCAACCCGATAATTAGCGTGGACGTGTTTCAAACAACGAATTGTTTTTTAACCGTATTTGGTGGTATCGGTCAACTTTAATTTATTGCCTATTTATTGCAGTTTAGTGTTTGTTGACAGCGACGGAGCAAAAAACATACTCCTGCAATTTAGAACACGTCTTTCGTTAGCGGCATAGGTGCGCCTTCGTCTTGAATACCAATCGATGCGTTTGATTCTTTCTTAAACTCACAAAATTTTCGGTCCCATCTCTGGCGCTGGCTATAAATAACAGCGGAAAACCTAATAATTTCTGGAAGACTTAAGACGCCTTAAGAGAAGTGTCTCAGACACTAACTTCTCATGAGACTTTTGTATCATAAGAAATTTATTTCAGAAGTGTTTCTATAGCATATGGATATATTCCTGTGAAACACAGAAGTCACGGAATTTTTTTCTCTATTGACAAGGCGTCTCTCAATGCAACGAATATGCTCCACAGATATTGAAAATAGATGGGATTAAAGGAGAGAAAAAGAGATACAAAGTTCTTATGGTTATCTTTTGGTGTTATGGTATTTCAGAACTTCGTCATATCACTGATTCTATTCCGAGAGTTTGGTGCTCCGAATTTTGGTCAGAAAACATTTCCGTGTCTTACGTGATTTAAACAACAGAGGTGAGTTCTACCTTAAATATATTTCTACCATTCCCATTTCGATCCGGCAGTAATATATAGTCATCTTTTTATCTTTAGGCATTTTTTTTGTCTCTCTCTTTAGGAGAGTACTCCGACTGATATTGTTGCGGCTTAAGAAGCATCTTGCTTTGTTCACTGTGATTCCCAACGTCATACTGTATCCGGTTAGCGACGATTCGCCACAAATTCCCTCAGCGAGCCTGTAGTTTCAGTTTGCAGAGTTTGCAGAGCCAGTTTGCGAATCCTTCTTGTACTTACTATGCACTCAGTGTATTTATTACCTACGTATATTCCATTTTGTTTGATCGAAGATTATATATATAGTAAATTCTATAAACATCATACTTATATTGTCCCTGTAGGTTCCTGTGTGGTTCATCCGGATACAATTTCAATTTCAACAGTTAAGGTGTGATCCAGGTTTAGTTGAATATTATTGGCCAATCGTGGCTCTTGTTCATTTCATTTTGTTCAACAGGTTCATTTTATTGCGCAATTTTTCGGAAACTCTGTAGGGTGTCACATTGTAAAGTGTTGTAATTTCGTCCCGATTGTATAATATTATCTACATTATTGTACTAAACTTTAACTGAACCTCATCCACAGTTTTATTGCCCACTGCATAGCATAATTTTCTAGTTTTGGCCGAGATTTTTAGTGTTTTTTATAATCTCAGCATCTTATTTAAAGAGAAGTGTGTGTGAGTGATAAAACACTTGGCGTCCAATTAAAAACTGTACCGAAATATAAACAGATGACCCACCCCGAGTCCACTGGCTAGGTCGGGGCATACGTAACAAAATGCCTTCTTCTTTTCGTTTTTAGAACCCATTTTTGGGTAAATCACAAATGCTTATCTAACGACGCAAATAACCGAACTCCCGTGCGGCGCGTGAAATAAATGTTTCACTAGTAACTAAACGTGTTGGCAAAATGAAAAACTAGTGACACACTTTTTCGCGTAAAGTGTAAAGTCTAAAGTGTGAATTCACGCCATGCTACGAACTTCGTAATTCTGGAATTATTTGCAAACCGTCTTCGAATTCAATTCGAATTCAAAGGAGTAACTGGTATTTTCCACTGGAATGTTATTTTCGATCTTCCCTTTTTACATCACAGCCGACATTTAAATGCAAAAACTGGAAGTTTTCAACATCGGTATTAAACCAGCTATGCAAATACCGGGAAGTTTACTATAACTGGATATAAGATATTCAACATTGCACAATTTAATCATGTACACAGTAAACAGTAACAGTAGAAATAGGTGAAATTTTGATGAAATTTTGTTTGTCAGGTTCAGAATTAAAATTATTATTATTATTGTGTGTCAAATCCCAGCATTAACTAATTTTACAAATCTACAATAATTCAATCTTAATTAAAATCAGAAAAGTTATTTTGTTTTATTTTTCCTCACACGCATAGGAAGTAGATTATAAAATTTTGACCCTTAATAAATTATTGTCTGCTGATTAATAGCTCGATTACTTTTAAGGACGATAACATTTCTGGGAATATTTGCTCTAGTTTCACAATCATGATTGATTAGTGCCTGCCTGGAAGAATGTTTATGAATGTATATACATACTAAAGATAAAAAAGTGTCGTAAACGGCATTTGAGTCACTAGTTTATTTGGCACGAGCGAAACGCAGCGGATCGAATGTTTAACACGCGAGTGATTTAAAAAGTTTAAAACATCCGATCGCTCCCAAACCCGTACGGTAATATCCCGCAAATGTCCGAAATGGCTCGGATCCGTGGGACAAGAAACTCACGTGGTAAGGTGACGCTTTCCGCACGCTAGATAGGTGTATATTAAGGCATTTTTTCTACTCTCGTCTGTAAAATTACCCACCGATCTAGTGTGCGGGAAGCGTCACTTTACCACGTCAGTTTCGTTTCCCACGAATCCGAGCCACTTTGGGCATTTCCGGGATTTTACCGCACGGATCTGGGAGCAATCAGATGTTTTCGGAGATATTTCCCACGCTTTGAATTTTGACGTTTGTCAATTCTGACAGTCATGTCAGTTGATTTATTCGTGTT